TAATGTTTATAAAACTTACAATAAAACTTATTTCTAACTCTAAATTTTTTTAATTGGGACATTACAAAAACATTAACTACAACACAACTAAAAAGATCATTTTCATTTATTATTTTACAGTTTATAAAAATAGTAGAAAATCAAAGACTTGACAAAAAAAATAAAAAAACGTGTTTAAAGTAAAAGAATCGGACAAAAATTGTTGTGGCAATTGAGATAAAAGAAAAGTGTTTACAATTCAGATACAATTGATATACCTCTGAAATGGGAAAAAACAAAAACATCATAATAATAGTAACTGTAGAGTGGAGTAATGAAAAGAAAAAAGTTAAAAGCTCACTAATGACAAACTCGCGTACGAGTAAAAAACTAAAAAAATTGCAAATAAAGACTGGGTAGTTACAAAATAGTAGTGTTGGATAATAGAGCAAAGAAAAGTAAGATTTGATGAGATTTAAAAAAGTTGGAGTTTGAGTGGTAGATTTGATGACATGAACAGTAACCAACTGTTATTGCTTCATTAACTTGTAATCCTTATTCTTAGAGAAAGTTTTACAAAAAAAGCAAAAAATAGAGTTGTAAAAGTTACAAAAAAAACAGTAAAAATGACAAAAATTAAACTAAAAATAAAATTAAAAAATAACAACGAAATCAAAACTGGGTGAAAGAAAAGGGTGTAGATATTATGCCACAGCAAAAAAATGACTTTGATGTTGATAATTAAATTATGGTTGTGGCTTGGCAAAGTGCATAATTTAAACAAATAGTAGAATTTTAAATCTGCTGAGTGGTAGTTTTTAAAAGTTTGTTTTTTGCTTTTTACGCATTGTGACCATTGCATTAGAGCTTGGTAATCGGAGTAAAATTTAAAAGATAATTAATACTTGTAGTCGCAAACAGTAATTCACTGTTATCATAAAATTTCAGTCGTTTTCAGTAAAACTTGCAGATCAAAACTTTTTTGAGCGTTGCTTTTAAAATCATCCATCATGTTAGTCAGCCAAAGTAGATCAAATCACTGTTGTTTATGTTGCTTTGTTTGACGTAGTCATCAGCACTGAAACGACGTCGATCAGCAGAAAGCAGAATGTTGTTGTTGTTGTTGTTTGAACCTAGCTGCTGCTGCTGTTGCTGATGACTGCCCCCACTAAAGGAGAAGGACTCCGAGGAGGACTCTGGCGCCATTGAACCAGCACCAGCTCCAGCTCCCGAGCTCTGTCTGGCGGCGCCGACCATGGAGGCCTGCACCTGTTCCTGGAACCACTGCTCCACCTGTCGGAGCTGGCTGTCCGTCTCTGCGGCCACTCGATGCGAGACCTGGGCGCGAAAGTTGTCCAGCAGGTCGCGCGAGGCGGAGGGGACGATCAGTCGGCGGTATCGCTGTGACTCGCCACCCGGACTGGAGGGCGCCACCACCACCGGGTGACCACCGCCTCCTGGTGAGCACTGCTGCTGGTGGTGACTGACGACGCCTCGAAGCAGCTCAGCACTGGTCAGCGGCATGCTCGCCGTAGAGGGAAAGGGAAAGTGACTGGTGGCAGTGCTAGCAGCTCCAGCAGTGTTTGGGCTGTTATTGGGGTTGTTAGTGGTGAGCGTTTGGTTGCTGCTGTTGCTGCTGGCCAGATCGTGTGTGGAAGCCTTCAGGCGCCAGTTGCTGGAGGAGGAGGAGGAGTTCAGTGAGCCGTGGTAGACGCCGTTTTCCGGCTGCAGTTGCTTAGAGTTGACTAGAGTCAGCGTTGAGGAGGAGGCATTCAGGTGGTGGTGGCCATTCGCTTGTTGCTGTTGTTGATGATGGTGGTGGTGGTGGTGGTGGCGATGATTTGGAGAGTTTTGGTGGAAGGTGTAGGCAGTGCCATGTTGGCCATCACTGCCAATCGGGTTTGAATGTTGGCCAGTTTTGTGTAAGTACCGATGTGGTGACAGTTGAGCGTAGGAAGCCTCATCAACCAGACCACTATTTCCAGCCATAGTCGGTGGCAGATTCTGCGACATTGCAGCATTGCGAGCCATGAAGGGCGGCGCCGAGGCGTAACAGTTGTCATCCAGCTCCTTTTCCACCTCATTCAGGAAGCTCTCCACGTCGACGTTAGGATCAAAGATGAAGGCATTGGCAGACATTTCCGGCTCGCCCGTCAAGTGCATGTTCTGCAGATGGTTGTACAGCGGTGGCTGCTGTTGCTGTTGTTGGTGCTGGTGAGGATGCTGCTGGTGAAGATAGTGCAGATTGCTGTGATCGACGCTGTTGGCGAAGGCCTGCAGCTGAGCACCGCGGAGAATCGATCCACTGCTCGAGTGGTGACGGTAGTGTCCCAGGTGAGGGTGAGGGTGATGAGGGTGATGAGGATGGCCGATTGAGGAGGGGTGATGAGCACCACTACCGTTCACAGCGGTGGCCGGAATGACCACCGAGCTGCAGCTGGCCGCCGAGGAGAGCAGGTCCATGGCCGAGGGGGCAAACATGAAGCCGGTCATGTGGTGGTCGCCGAGGGTGAAGGGCGCCGCCGCTGAGTTGGACGTCTCATTGAGAGCAGTCATTCCGGCAGACCGCTTTAGAGCGGCGGCAACGTTTGCCCGACTGCCGTACATTGGCGGTGGTGGTGGTGAGTGAAGTTGATGATGAAGTGGGTAGTTGCCGTCCTCGTCCATTGAAGAGTGAGACCAGTGGTAGGTGTTGCGGTTGATAAGTTGCTGCTGCTGATGGTGGTGGAGATGGTGATTTGGCGAGTACATCTGCTGAGAGCTCCCGCAGTTTTTCAGACTGGACTGCTCACAGCTGCAGCTGCCACCACCCACCGCTGAGAGCATGTTGGTTGAGTTGCTGCTGTTGTGGCGCATGTTGCACTTCTTCAGCTGCACCGACTGAGGCGGACTTTGTGAGCTGTGCAGCAGGTGCAGCTGACTTTGGTGGTGATGCTGAGGATGATGACTGGTGGTTGACCAGCCGTTGGGAAGGACACCACCGCCACCACTTAGGCTGTTGCTGCTGGCACACTTTCCATTGGCTGCCATTCCATTACCGGCACTTCCGTCGATCAGGCTGGCACTGCTGCAACAGCAGCCGCTGCTGCTGCTGGTGCTGTTGCTGTTGTTGCTGCTGGAGCAGCTGGCCACTCCATTGCCACTCCCACTTACTCCACTGCCTGAAAGCTGCTGCTGTTGCTGCTCGATAATCTTTGCCGAGCAGACGGCAATCTGGTTCAGCAGTGAGGAAAGTTCATCATCGGTGTTGACAGTGCTGCTGCTATTGCTGGGGCTGCTGCTGCTGTTGGCAGTCGTCGTTTTAAGTGCTGCATTAGTCGTGGTTGTCATGTTATTATTAGTCGCTCCAAAATCATTAGTCACTGTGGTGGCCGTGAACTCGCCGCCTGAGTCGCCATCCGAAACCATTAAGTGATGATTCTGGTGCTGATGATTTGAGGTGTTGGACTTGCTGCTTTCGCTGCTGTTTAGCTGTTCGGGCTGCTGCTGCTGTTGCTGCTGATGGCAACAGCAGTTGTTGTTGGCCGATGCTGTTGCAGCAAACTTTGATGCTCTTTCCCGACTTGGCGACTTCTCAAATGCACTCAAAGTCTCGTCATTTGCTTTTTTCCGTTTGGCTGGAGTTGAGTTTTTCTGGGTAGAGGAAGATGATGACTTTTTGCCCTTTCCATTACAGCTGCTGCCGCTGCTCTTCACCTCATGGCCAATGGCTTTCAGGTGAGAGCACATCAGCCGGTCAAACTCCCGTCTCAGCTGCACCAGACGGGCATTGGTTTTGACGTTCTCAATGAGCGCCTTCAGCAGTTCAGGATTGAGCTCGTAGATGCGCTCAAAGTTGGCCGCCGCCTCGGTCGCTGCAGTGTTCGGATCGGTGTTTTCTGCTCCCTCTGAACACCTTGTGCCGTTCGTTGCCGTTGGAAAGAGCTGTCCCATGAGGTCTTTGACATTGCTGGGCAACGACTGCAGCCACTCGTAGCGGTTACCTTTGGCGGTGCTTTCCGCACTCAGCGAGCTGAGCGTCTCAGTGAGGAGGACGTTGGAGTCGTTTGGATCGGACTTGCTGTCACCGCTGTTGTTGTTGTTGTTATTGTTGTTAAAAGTATCTGAGTCAGCTGATAACTGTTTGACTTGCAGCACCGCCTTTCTCCTCTCACTGACCACTGTTGTGGTGTCCCCGTCTGAGGTGCTCTCAGAATCACATTTAGTAGTAGTTATCACATTTTCAGCCGAGTTTAGCAACTTTTCCTCAGCTTTAGTGGTAGTGTCGTCAGATGGCTGTCGATCATTCCGGTCAGCAGGATTCAGCCTGGAGACGATGTTTGAGGAGAACTTGATGATTCGATCGAGCAGAAGGATCAGTTCATCTTCGGAAGAGTGAACCGATGAACTGCTGTCATTGCTTTCATCACTTGTCGCCTCCGCCTCTGCCTCCTCCTCTTCTTTTCCATTTTCCTCAGTTTGATGTTTATATAGCCTGACTAGCTTTTGATTTTTACTAGCCAACTTTAGCTGCTTTTCTAGTTGATCTTTGCTTTTTAAAGCTTTTTTCTCGGGCCGTTTTTCAAGGAGGACATTTTTAGAGCGAACGCCGTCAATCCAATTGCGAGTTCGTTTGATGACACTGCTCCAGGAACCTTTGTGATGGCTGCTGTTGCTACTTTGATGTTCAGGAGACGATGATTTTTGGCCGCCATTTAATTTGCTTGTGTCGTTCAGAACTGCCCCCACAACATCTGCTTTACTTTGCTGCCCTTTTCGACAAAAAATCTGCTCCAGGTAGTCGAGCTTTGCCTCAAACTGGCACAAGTTGTAGCTGAGTTTGGCACTCTCGGAGAGGAGAAAGATCAATTCGGGAGAGGACTTTTCAATGAAGGCCAGCAGAGTGCTGTTTGGCGATTTTGGCAAAGTCAGTCTGCTTCGGTTGCCTGTTTTTGCTGATGATTGAGATGTGGTAATTGTTGTTGTTGACGTCTGTTGTTGCCGCCTGACTCGACGACTGTTGGCAGAAGCCAGTCGAAGCATGTCAACGTCGGTGTTTGGGGCAAGGGCGTTATCACGGCCACTGCCTAGGCCTCGACTGCTTCGCAACAACAGTTGACCACCTCGACGAAGGTTTCCGCTTGATGGTGACGGTGATGACTGCACGTTTCGAATGTTCAGCTTTGCTGAACTGGGTGACTGTTGCGGTGGTTGAGTACTATCACAGGATTTCGATTTGTCAAAAGTGGTAGTGGTGATTGTCGATGTTCCAATATCAGCCGCAGCAGCAGCAGACAATAATGGGGACTGACTTTTGGAGAGGTCGTTTTCAGCATTGTTTTTATCAGCAGAAAATCTCCGATTTTCAGACTCAATGGTGGCATTTGATGACTGGTCAACAGCAGCAGTGGAAGTATCGGTGGCATTTGGTCCCGAAACAGAATCAGCAACAACCGCAGCAGCAGTTGTAGTATCACACTTCTGAAGCTCACTTTTTAGATCAGTTTCACCTTCTTTTGTCGTTGTTGTCGTCAGTCCATCATTGACTTTTTCCTGCAACCGAGCAGTGTTTGCCTGCCTTTCCAATCTCTGCTCTGAAACACTGGTCTGCTTGGAAAACTGCTGCTTTCCTTGCTGCTGTTCCAGAACTGCTGCTGCCACTGTTGACCGACTGCTGCTGATTGACTTGACCGAAAGGCTAGGCCGAATTGCTGAGTTGCTGCCAACAGCTTTGGCATTTGCTGATCGTGGCGGTGATGTCTCTTTGATGGTGGCGGTGGTGGCTGTCGTCGTCTTTGTCACCACCACTCGACCACCGCCGTTGACAACAGCTGCTGAAGGAGAAGACTGCTGCTGTTGACATGACCTGTGGTGAAGAGGAGTAGAAGGGTGATCGTGCAGTGAAGTGCAAGGCGACGTTGAGATCGAGGACGGCCTGTTGTTGACCACGGCCACTGATGTGATCACTTTGTTGGCAGAGGTGGCAGCAGTAGTAGATGGGCGCCGAGAAAAGGACAATGAGGAGGCTGCATCTGCGCAAACAAAAGCAAACATCAACAAAAAGAGGATGTCGGTAATGGCGACGACGGCAAAATGATGATGGTGAGAATGATGATGATGATGATGAGGTCGGGAAAAGATAGAAAGAAAGAGAGAGAGAGAGAGAAAGAGAGAAAAGAAGAAAAAGAAAAAGGGAAAAGAAGAATGGTCAATTAGCAAGGTAAACACACAGCAGGCAAACAAAGGAAATGAGTACGTACCTCTACCGCCACCGTTGCGTTGATTGCCGCCACTGAGCCAGTCGTGAGCGGTCACTCTGGTCACGACTGGGCGAGTGCCGTTGCTGCCGTTAGTCGATGCTCCACTAAATGACGACCGATTCGGCGATTGGGAGGAAGAGGAGGAGGCGGTTGAGCTGTGGTGGTGCTGATGGTGATGACTGTTGGCTCCAACTGATGTCGGCGGTGGCACTGAATTCGCCGCCGACCTCAGCAGCAGTCGTGTTCGACTGCCGATGCTGTGGTGCTGCTGCTGCTGGTCAATGCTGAGCTGAGTTTCAGCAGCGGCCGCAGCCTTTGCAGCTGCCCTAGCATTTGCCTGCTCCTGAATGCGTAGCTTGTTGATTAGAATGTAGTTGGGCGTAGTAGAGCTGCCCAGGGAGGACTTGCTGTTTTGTGAATTGTTGCTATCACAGATCTGGGAACTGCTGCTGCTGCTGCTGCTCTGAGTCTGGGTCTGGAGGGCTCGCTTTCGAGCATCAGCCTGGACGGTGGCTGTCGGAGATGAAGAGGGGTTGTCAGTTGATGCTGACTTTAACAGTTGGCCTGGTCGACTGCCACTACCACCTGCTCCACCTCCTCCGGTCACCGTTCCAACAGAATGATTGAGTTGCCTGCTCGACAGTTGAGGAGGGTGATAGTGCTGATGGTGGTGGGGGTGATGACTACTGTGCTGAGAGGGTGATGATGAGGATGAGGATGATGATGGTCCAGCCACCACTGAAGAGGAGGAGGCTANGTGCTGATGGTGGTGGGGGTGATGACTACTGTGCTGAGAGGGTGATGATGAGGATGAGGATGATGATGGTCCAGCCACCACTGAAGAGGAGGAGGCTACTCCAGCAACAGCACCAGCAGATGTGGCCAGCGGGCTGGAGTGGTGACACGCCAGCGTGGCCATGGCCGAGTGCTGTGTGCCCTGCGATGATTAGAACACTTGTTCAAACAATTTCAATTGCAGAGCCTGCAAAGAGGAAACTGCTGGTTCCCTCTTTGCTGAAGTTTTTGCTGAGAAAACGTTGATGAGCTGGAAAAGAATGTCGGGAGAGTGTTGTCGTTGTTGTTGTGTGTGTCATTGATTGCTCGGCATTGATATTGCAAATGTGGCAGTTTTTGTAGTGAAAAACAACATCAACATCAAGAGTGGTGCATGCCGGCATGTCAAAACAGAGTTTTTGTGGTACAGGTGAATGGTTAACAATAGAAATCTGTAGAGCAGTAACAAAACAAAACAAATGATTTGAGAATTTTTAGTGACAAAATTTGTTTACACCGGTGTTCAATGAACGAGGAAAATGACTGGGTTTGGATTGTTTGCCGAAAGGAACTGAAGAGTGAAAACGATGAGTTGTTGAGCTGTTGTGAAACCGTTGTTGTGACCAAGGTTTACGTTTTAAAAGATTGAAAAAGATCAAGAAAGAAAAAGTTTTGTTTTGGCAATGATCAGAGCGAGGGTTTGTAGAGCATTGTTTGCAGTGTTTTTTCTTAACACTTAAAACATTGTAAATTTTGGTCGCTGCCCGTCGGTGTTGCAAACAGCAAGTTATATTTTGTGGCAGTCAGTTTGAATAAAAGGTTAAAGTATTGGTTGTTGACGGTTGAGTGCAAAACGTTGATGACCAGACTGGAAAGTACAAGGCTATTGTTTTCTTTTGAATGCAAAGTTTGCCTTTTTTCTCACTTTTTTGTAATGCAGATTGTCCTGTCTTTTTCTGATTTAGCTCATTGCAGTCATCAAAAAGGCTTTATCTTGCGATAATACTTCTCGCCGTCTTTTTGGCTACTTTTTAGTGACTTTTTCGGTACTTTGCCGGTTGGTGAATGGGAATTTGTATGTGTGTGAAATAACAAAAACAAAGGTGCCGGGTGAGTGAGTAAAGATTGCCGGTAATCAGTTGAGGGCAATCAGTTGAAAGCAGTTAACAGCAAACAGCCAACGAATCAGCTGATAATCTGCTTCAAGTTGAGTAACGTAGTAACAGTGGAGGCTGAAGGGCGCCAGGACAAAAAATCGACTGCAACGGTAACGGCAAAGACGGCGATGATGATGAGACCAAATCGTTAGACCAAACAAAAAGTGTGGACGAAGTCTGCAAAAATGGGGAAACGAGGAGAAGGGAGAAAAGCAAACAAAACGGGCAAATTAATTAGACGACTAAAAATAATTGCGCCGCCGCCGCCGCTGCAACTCTTTCAAACAGTTCGTGTACGGTATGCGAGCTACTTTTGCTATAGAAAGTCTAGGCTAGGCAATCTTTCTTCTTCTTTTTTTTTTGTTTTTTTTTTATTTTGACTACTATACTTTGGCTGCTGCTGTTGACTTTGTTGTTGTGGAGAAGCCAATTGAGCCACTTGTGTAGTGGTGCACTGTTGGGTGCTCGTTGGCTCACTTTTCACTTCTCTCTCCCCTCGCTTAAACGTTTTGCCTCGCAAACTTTTTATTATGTTATTAATAATAATAAAAAGCTACTTCTTCTCCTTTAATTAGACTGCTACTTCAAAGGAAGAAATGGAGAGAAATTGAGATAGAAAAAAGGAGAGAAAGGAGTAACGAAGTAATACTCTTTCTGTTGCCGACGACGACGATGGGCAAAGAGTTTGCTAATGACGGCAATTAGTACGACTAGTGAGATTGAGTGTCTAGAAAAGAAGAAAATGAGAGCAAGAAGAAGAACAAATGAGGAGCAAAGGGGAGCTAAAATGGGAAGGGAAAGGGCTGCCAGTGAAGAAGATGACTACTTCGGTGAAGTCCACACGCACACATTGATTGCCACAGTCAATGAACAGTGTTGTGATCTGCTTGGAATGATTCACAGAAAACAAATCAACTGTACTTGACTGGACTGACTAGTTTGATTAGTAGCGGGGCAGTGTTTAATAACATTGGCTGCGACGATAATGATAATCATTCAACAAAAGGATTAAAGAAAAAGAGAGAAGGGCGCTCAATGATGAAATACTGTAAATGGGGTAAAACAAACAGTTTGCGAATAGTAAAATTTGAATGAAAAAAGATGTTGTTGTTGTTGTTGAATGTCTTAATGGAAAT